TACAGCAACTTGGAAGCGGGAGCGGTCAACGTGCCCCTGCCTTGGCGGCCCTCCTTAGCTCAGCCCAGACCTGCTTTCTGGACTACTGTGTCGCATTGCGTGTATATAAATGTATGTATGTATAGGTTATGTGTATGTGTTCTTCCAGAAAAATACACTGTATACACAAGAGTCTGATATCGAGACACAGGAGTGTCGAGAGCCTCGACTCGAGTCAGGCTCTCCTTCGTTGTGGAAGTCACGGTGCCGCTCCTCCAAGACAGCGTTCTCAGGGCTGCGTGCTCAGATGAGCAAGGCGGGCAACGTGATAGGTCAGGGCAGCACAAAGAGTCAGCCATCGGCTGAATTTTGTAGCTGGTGAGCCAAGCACCTCTCAGGTGATCCTTCCACCGGGTTTTACGTTGCAGCAGTTTGACTACTTCGAAGGGGCCTGGCACCGAGGTTCTGTGCTTCCTTGTGCAGGTTTTAAAATGTCTCTGAGCACTTGAGGTTTCCCGTCACTTTGCCAAGAATCCGGCAGCCAGTGTCGCGGCCTTGTGAGATTCGGGTTCTTGACACTGCAACGTTCCTGCAAGCCAGGGAAGCACCTCGATTTGTAAAGGAAGTGGGATGATCGCCAGCGTTTGCACCACGCAGCCGAGGCAGTGATGAAGTCCAGGTCGAACCTGCAGCCGACTTAGAAAAGGCTGTGCTTCGTGTGCAGAGTGTCCGTTTGGACGGCTCCCACAAGTTTTGACAAGGGATGAATCTGGGTGCAACTACCTGGCTAAGCTAGCGAACCATGAGTAAGGACGGCATTCTTCGGCAGCAGTGCTCCTGATGGGATGGCCTCGCGACTGCAGTTGCATCACCATGCGTCTACACGAGAGGTTGACAGCCCAGGCAAGGCAGTAGGTCGATGCTATCCAGTGTAGACTTCGGAGTAAGATGTCTCGAGTCTCAGCACTAGTTCAGAGATATATGAAAAACATTCATGTCAAGAGTACTGCTGCTTGCTGACTCTGCACGGGGATTGCCGAGCTCCGGGTCCAGTGACCTCGCCATCAACGTGGAATGCAGCACTACGTTGATATGTAATTTGTGCAGTCACTGCTCTCACCGTCAGCTTCGGTGGCGACCACGAGTCTTATCTTTTGTCCTCCAAATTGCTGCCACGCGCACGACCAACCATCATCATTTTCCGTTTTAAACGAGATTCCACCGGAGCGGTGCAGACAAGCTGAGGTAGAAGTCCTGATGCTGCGGGTTCTTGTAGCCTGCCTCTCAACGCCTTTGCCACAAGCGCAGACACATGCTCTGGCTCAGGGAACATATGGCGGTCCCCCTGAAGTGCTGTCATCCACACTTCGAGCTCTACATCGTGCCAAGGACTCTTTGGTAGATGAGCTGCTGGAGTTCAGGATCACGGTGCGTAATCCCATGGAGGACCTGCAAAGTGTCTTGCTAGCATTTCTTTTGGAACATGCTGGCGGCTAAGGGATGTCGACTGCAGACAAAAACCTGCATTTCAGGAGTTGCCGGAGATGTACCAGGATCTCAATCGCTTTTCGGCTGCATAGCGCAGTCCTACGAGATTCATCGGCTGGGGTCGTTTTTTTCGTGAAGACGTGAACCTCGCGGCTTGCAGCAGGCTGGCTCGTGGAGACATTGGATGCAGCGCTCTGAGTAGTGCCCTACGATGACACCAAGTTTTCCTTGATGTGCGTGTGTCTGTACGTATGTGTATACTATTATTTTTGTCCTTATTCTTATTCTTGTAATTATTGTTTGATGAGTTGCCTCATTATGTGTGTGTGTGTGCATAATCTTATATTATATTATATATACAGGACATGTACGAAGGCTCGCCGCCGATGATACACAGTGTCTCTCGGTGTAAGGGATCCATGCTAGCTTGCGAAAGCCATCGGCAGAACCCAAACAAGCGCCAAAACTCTTCGGTTCTTGCCCAGCCATGGCGGTGATCTTCGCAACACGACATGCGGCATCATCGGTCGACAACCACCTAAACCCTGCATCTATACTATACTAGATACGCCAATGTCGGGTTGACCCTTGCGAGCCACATGTCTGATCTCTTGTTGAGAGGATTGAGGAGCTCGTGATTTCCTTGGCTAGCAACGGAAATGTTCTGCGGATTGCTACTCGTACCAAGAAACTGATTAGATAGAAGAGCATCAAGTGTTTGTGGGAAGATATGCTGTTTAGCCAGTGTGTTTCTCATTCATATTCAGAGAGATAGAAAGAGGCAGAGAGAGAGAGAGAGAGAGACAGAGACAAGCCCCAGAGCAATGCAAAGCAAAGCGAGAGAGAGCGAGAGCTATGCCCTATAGCTCTTTCCCCCATGCACAACCTAACACTCAGCAGCCGTTGCACAAATACCACGGGGAAAGTACCTGACAGTGTCCTCAACTACTTACTTCTTTCTGTGTCCTAGCTCTTGTGCTGCACTTGCTTCTGCAACATCAAAGGACGCTGTAATATTCCCCAAAGTACATAGAACTGCGGATCCCACCGGCCTCCTAAAGTCAAATATACAAAGTTCGCGAGCCCTTGTCACCCTCTGTTCCTCGAAGTTGTTTGGTTCCTTTGAACTGCATGCAGGGGGCCGGGGGGAACAATGATGAACTAGTTCAGTGCTGTGCCGTTGCTTACAATCAATAACGAGAGGGGCCGGACTGTCCCCACTGTGTTGCGGTGTTTGGTGTTCGCCTTGTGCAGTACGACGGCATGGAACGCGAGATACTGTAACCGAGCCTGCCTAGTTTCTCAATCTAGCTGGTTTGTAAGTGTTGTTCCACTCGATAGCGTTCCCTTGATGTCGTCAAAACAAAGCCGCCCGAAGCTACAACGATGATGCAAGGCGCCCCCGCGAAAAACTCTCTACACATGGTGACCTTTTAAGGGCAGTCCAGAAATTTTGTGCACTTGTTTTGTGAAGCGGGGGAGCCATAAAGCATATCACCGAATTCGGGGGGACGGCATGGGGCTGAAAGTACTCCAAACAAAAATCTACATATGCTAGCCCCGTAGGGGACTAGTTTAACGCTGTGTGTTGCTGAACTTGGAGTTTGCCTTTGTGCACGATGACGGCACGAGACGGGAGTATACAGGCTTTGCGGGGAAATAACTATGTTTTGTAGGTGTAGTTCTATCACATGGCGTTCCTATAAGTGTCGTCAAAACAAAGCAGCCGGGGCCACAAAACGATGATTTAAGGCGTCCCTGCAAAAACTTCCTGCACTTGGTACCCTTTTAACACGTTCCTGACATGCTGTGCCCATAAAGCACATCGTCGAAAATCGAGAGGACTGCATGGGGCCGAAGGGTAATGTATCTGTTTTTTACTTACTAGTAGGCTCTAAGCATGCTGGCCCCTTGCAGACATCCTACTCAAAGTTCTTGCACTGCATACATTGATTTTGAAAATTCAGACACGCAAAAAAAGCGTGATCACCCAGCCATCCAGATGAAGGCATACATGATAAAAGATCCTTAAAAGCATCGTTGGACTATTGTTACTACTTGTATTCTGCCTGCAACCTATGCCTGCAAAAGCTGGGGCGTATATGTCAACTGAGAGCATACATTCCTCTTCGCCCTTCTATCCTTAACAGTATAAGCTTTAGCCGTATAGGGGGAATTATGCTCGCTCCTCACACCCCTGCATTCCCACACAACAAAACGTGCGGGTGGGCTTGGAGCTCGGGGGTCTTGACCGACCCTCCCGAGAAAGAGAGAGAGAGAGAGAGAGAGAAGAGAGAGAGAGAGAGATGCAGTCAACAAGGGAAGGCGGAAAGATGCATTCCATGTTTTTTGTTGACACAGAGACTTCTTGTTTGCTGTTATTTCCTGTTCATGTCTGGTGAAGCTGTCTTAATACTTCAAGGAGGTAAAGAAACTCCTTGAATCCTGCTTCAGAGCAGAGGACGTTCAAATGAGCTCCACTGTTTTTCCTAGCTCCGTCGCTTGCTTTGGGCTGCGCTTCTTAGTTGTTTGGTGGGGAAACAAACTGAGCTTATTACATTGACAAGTTGTCGGTGTAACTGCAGCGTGTGTAAAGGTTAAAGTTATGCATTACGACTGGAAGACGACAGCTTCAACCCACTGGACGGGACGATTCGTAGAGTAACACTTCTGGCAAAATAGCGGAGTTCCACATAATCAGACCTCACCAGAGGAGTATTTCTTACGCTGCTTTTTGTTCATGACACTTCGCAGTTCCATTGGAGTTTCCAGCGGAGTCTTGTCTGCTACTCGTAGGCAAAGAGGCGCTGCCACTTCAATTATGCTGCAATTTCATTAAACTGTTCTCCTACCGCCGTATGGGCTTGTTCTTGATGAGCGGACACATCACGAACCGCCCCTAGTAGTAAATGCAAGGAACGCTTCGTGGGCCAAACACCGTTCGGGGTCCGATGTAGACAGTATGCATATATATATATATATGTGCTGCATGTGAGTAAGTAAGTAAGTAAATAAGTAAGTAAATAAGTAAGTAAGTA